CATACAACCGAAGATAACAGACTAACAACTAGGAAGGCTTGCTAAAGCTTTAAGAATAGCACCGCGATAACTGCGATACAGCGTGTATTGCGCTCTGCGATTGAAATGAACACCGTCTGGTAGAAACGGAGATTTTACGCGCTGTAAGAATCCCTTATGACTCCAGCAAAAAACGTTGGGAACACCGTCCAGAACGACCTCTAAATATTGGTTCAAAATAAACGCCTGCCTGTTGAACTCCGGGGAAGCTGCCCGATGTGTAATTAGGCAAACCCCTACTATCTGAACATAAGGGAGCTGAAGTAAAAGATGAACGAGGTCATCGATTTTGGAACCCACTACTTCGGGTTTGCTATGGCTAAGGTCATTACTACCCACTTCCAAAATTACAATGGCAGGCCGAAATGAGCGAACTTTATCTAAATCGAACGCGGTCAACTTGTCTACGGTGCGTCCCCCAATTCCATGCAATTTGACGGAGGCCCTTTTTATATTAAAACTAATGGCCGCACGGACGTCGAAATTAGAGCGAAAATCGCGATGGAGACGTTTGACAAACGAGTGTCCAAAAACAAGAACTTTTGGGCGTGACAATTCCATAATACCCAAATTAAAAGTATCAAAATATAAGAATAATATAAGAACAATAATAATTGAAAATCTCACCTGTATAAAGGTAAAAGAAAGAAGTCCAAAACGTCAAAGAAAATTCGTATGTCTTCACTCGATCACGAGAAAGGTTGAATTGAGAAGTGAATAACTTTGCTTTGCTTTTAGTAGCTAAAATTTGGCCTTGACTTAATGTTTCTTACGTAGGTAAAAGCACCGGAATTTCCTTCTCCGCCAAGTCCCACCTTAATCTGCCACAATCCAATCTAACTATTTCCTACTTTTATCTTATCACTATAATTCAGGCTTGACATAAAAAACCATATTTCCGTAGGAAATATTTTTATTTATTGTATTTCACTACTATTTCAACAATGTCTTCATACAAAGGAGAGTCAGAAACTTCAGAAAGTGAACATTCGCATGGGAACAAAGCGAGCTGTGATGAAGAAACGTACGGTGACTCACATTCAAGTGAAAATCAGTGGTGATGAAAAGAAGAAATCAAACCTAGAAAAGTTAATATTTGTTGACAATATATGGTTATCTTGTTTGTTGTTGAAAACATGACCTTTGGCACAAACTTACTTCAGTTGAAGTTGAAAAGGATAATTTTCATCACTCGTTCAAAGTTTGCCTTTAGCATCACTTTATACTTCTTTAATATACATCACGGCAACTTGATAGTTTCTCACGTACACAAAACATAAGCAGCGATGGCCGATGGAAGGAAAACCTTTAGCGTACTGCGTATGACAATAAACTTTAGGTCAATCAAAATACGAACAAAAATACAAACAAATGCCTTGTAATTTATAGCTATAAATAATATTTCAATGCATGTGTGTTTAATAACTGTCTATCGGTCTATTTCTGTATGTTTAACGACTGTAAATTAATAAACTGACATGCACTAGCTCAGGGAATTTTATAGTGCAAGTATAAAATATCCTACGACTCCACGCGCGTTTTCGCTTGCCGTATTAAAGATTCATTGTAGGCCGGCTAGTATTGTATAGCAAACTATATACAGTATAAAAAGGTCGCACGCGACGGAGATAAATACAATAGTTGATTTTACAACTTGCATTTGAAAAGTAGATGTATAATTTTCAACTTGCACGGCGCCCATTGCCATTTGCATTGAAGGTCTATAAAAGTATGGAAAACAAATATTGAACATTTGAACTGATTTGAAGCATTATTAATTTAGCATATTATTTCTGTGATTCGGTCCCGAGACATTTATATTCGTTCTATTTATAAAAATTATCCGATTCAAATGCAATTAGTTGTAAAATCTGAAATCAACTTATTGTTTATAATATTATATGCAATAATCTTTCGTACAGTATAATATCAGTACCTCGATATATACCGCGTTTATACGTGTCCAAGGGCAAGCGAAAACGCAGACAAAGTCACAGGATATTTACTTGTGCTTCTTGTGCTATAAAATCTTCAAGTGCACTAAATTCCCCTGAGTGTCAGTTTAATTTACAGTCGTTAAAAATACCGAAATAGACGAATAGACACAAAATTATGCGTTGAAATCATGTGTTTATAACTATAACTTACATATATTGTCAACAAATATTAACTTTTCTAGGTTTGATTTCTTTTCATCGCCATTTTCACTTGAATGTGAGTCACCGTACGTTTCTTCATCACAGCTCGCTTTGTTCCCATGCGAATGTTCACTTTCTGAAGTTTCTGACTCTCCTTTGTATGAAGACATTGTTGAAATAGTACACTGTTAATTTCAAGGAGTTATTTTAACTCCACAGTAGGAGTTAAAACTACTCAACTCGTGAGAGTAAAAATAGTGGAGTAAAATCTACTCCCAAAATAGAGTTAAAACTACTCCATTTCGGCGCGCATTCCACAATTTACTCCATCAGGAGTCAATTTTACTCCGCTGGAGGAGTAAACTAAACTCGCGTTTAGGAGTAGAAATTATGGAGTAATTTGTACTCTTTAATTTTACTCCAGGGGTCGTTTCAACTCCCAAAAAAGAGTAAAATTGTTCTGGATCTGGAGTAAATTATTACAATATATAATTAATGTGCCTGAGAATCCAAGAGTTTTTCTGCTTGAGGCTATACTCTATTAAAGTATTGAATACAGTCAGATGCGAAAAGCGCGAAGTTCGAGATATAAAGTCTTTTTTTTAATTTTACGTTTTTGGTTACTCGAATGTTGCCAAGTCAGATTGATGCCATTGATGTATTATACCGTATATCGGCTCCAATCGCACGCGGCGATCAAATGTAGCCAGAAATTGTCGGCGAGTCATCTATATTTTTTATTTGCTGGCCTAAATCTGTAGTTTGAACGTGTGGAATGTTCTGCTGCTGAATTCTGCTGAATATAATTTTCGACAAGTGGAAGTTGCAGACTTTTAACCAATTAGCATGCTTAGAATATATCACGTGTTGTAGTAATTCGATCTGGTTCACACAAAGACCAAGCGCCAAGTTCAATCCTTCGACAGCAAACATTCAAAGGGGAATGATATTTATTTAAATTTTCTACTTATAAAGTTCCAAAGACCTAATAAGATACATGGAATTTGTTTTCAAAGGTATGTTTATTGTGTATTTACTTATTTGTGTGCGGAAAGTTACTTGATATACTGTATAGTTATATTTTTAAATCGAAGACGAAGGCCTGTATTTTAGTCGCTTCGCCACCGATTTGCCGATGTAGACGTTCAGTTAAAAATATTCGATTAATTT